AGCTATGCTTATGTGAGAATGATCCAAGGCAAAAACTTCTTTGATTATCGGCGTGGAAAGCGGAACACCTCCAGCTACAGTTCTAAACGCTTCCGTTGGGGGCGAATGTAAAGCTTGATTTGCGAATTCACCTAAATCCAATTTGAATCGAAACTGAAACAATTAATAGTCGGTCATTAACTTCCATGATGGGTTGCTAGTTATTTATTTATTCAAGTTACCTTATAAACGGCGAAGGGAACCAACTCATCGAACAATTCGCAGACAAAATTCTGGCTACAATCATAATTGGCCAAATTTCTCCATGGTTGTAGCTCCTCGGTTACATTCTCCATAACATATTGGTATTGTATGTGAATACTAAATTGATAATTTGCGTATAAATATTCAGGCAATACAATATTCCATAGTAACTTCAACGTATCAGTGTTATTGGATACTATTATAAAGGGTCTTTCGAGTTGTATTGCAGACTCTGCAATTCTCGTTTGACGGTCCCAATAATGCCTTTGACCCATTTCGCAAGCATATATGCACGGTAGGTCAAGCCAATGTAATTGCGTTGAAATCTGATAAGCAAAACAAGTATTTATAAGCGTGGGAAAAATATCCGAAGCCTAATAAGTTCAGAAGCTCGCAAGCGACATATCGTACAAATACTTACACATGTTTCCTGGCAAGTATCTGAGTTTGCAAGTGCTACTCTCCATTGTTCGCAACCTTTTATGCACTGTAAGAATCGGTATTTACTATAAATTTACAAATACACCACTTTCAAAGACGCATGCATAAATATACTTGGCCATATCTAATATATACATATGTACATATGTGTATGTGTGCATAAAAGCGCTTCCAGGTGAGGTTGCAAGCTTAAACGTCTAGTGAGTCAACAAAATAAAGAGGAAAATACAAACTCCTACCTTTTCTTTATTACGTGCAGAGAGAGTGAAGCTACGGATATGCATATGTATGTACATGTATGTATGTGGTGCGATATCAGGTTGTGTCGGATATTGATTTGTGGTACTACAATACATTTGGTTGCAAAGTGATTGAACGCTTTGGTGAGTGAGAGTGGGTGGGGTGCTGCTCCCAGTCTTTGTATGTGTAAATTCGGAAGTATATTTAGGTTTTATGGTTTTAGGGTTTCTACCAAGCGCTTATTTTATGTACATACATGCTTAACATATGCATAGTTGTATGTATGAAAATATAAAAGCGTGTAAAGTTTCTGCTTAATTAATGTTTTCTACTTACCCTCGACTTGAAGCACATGCGATTTTCGCTTTTCTTTCCACACTGCAGTCCGTATTCATTTAAGAATTCAGGTGCCTTTGAAAATTTACAAAAAAAAAAAACAGTTTTATATAGAGATGTTCGATGTGCTGAATACTCTAAATTTTTATTAATCTATCAAGTAGGTTTAATATAACTATAGCACAACAAATAGACTAGCTTTGAATTGCCATAAAAACTGCACTCAGCACTTTAAACATATACAAATGCAAACTGGAAACCAAATATAATCCTTCATCCCTCCCAGTTTTACACAAGTAGTCATACGATTTGTAAACTGATGCCGTTAAAATTAAAGATATTTGCTGTTATGAAACATATTGAAAGCCTCCTTACTGGTACAGTGAAAGTGCAAATTTGAATGCGTTGGATTGAAATATGTAGCTCCTAAACTAAGCGATTTCGAAAAAAGTTGGGGTATGACTTTATAAATGTAAGATTAAAATAACACTATACGGCAAAATGACCTTTTTCTCTGGGTATTGGACCACACCAATTTTTTCCAAGAGATTGAGTCACAAATAAAAAAGTAATTTCTCCGTTTTTCGAAGTTAGCCTCCGAAATCGAGACATGTGCCTCCGAAGTTCGAAATTGGACCTTTGGTAAAAATAATTTTTTAGTATTGCATGTAAATAACGAAAGAGAAAAAAACTAGTTTTTGTGCAAACTTATGGCTTTATTCATAAAAAATAAAGTAGCTTTATAAAAGGTTTATAAATTGAAAAATGTATGAAAACGTCAATTTATAAAGCTCTTTAAACCTACTTTATTTTTTATGAATAAGGCCATTATATTACAGGTCCCTTATAACACTTAAAAATCAGTTCAAAATTTTTTGAAATATAAGGTTTTTAACTTTTGGAAAATCTGATCTTTGACCCCTTATAGCACCTGGAATATAAGTTTGCACAAAAAAAGTTATATACCGTTTTAATAAGAGCAAAAGGCACATGGTAGGTAGGTAGGTTGTCGCGGTCGTCTATAAGACACACTTAGGCTCAGGGCCCATTGTGATGCCGCATGTTGGGTCAGCAACTCCCGATCCCTCCTAAAACCATTTTGAACTTTGAACGAATTTTAGAAGATCCCTGATTTCGACGCATCTAAGGTCCTCCAAGTTGTCGAAGAATTGCCTACCGAGAGTGGAGAGTCTTCGTTCAGATAGAGCAGGGCATTGGCACAACAGGTGGAGAATCGTTTCCTCCTCTTCTTCATCTTGACAACTTCTACAGAAGTCATGTGAGCGTAGGCCAAGTCGATAGGCGTGCTTGCCAATTAGGCAGTGTCCTGTTATGACGGATACTAATAATCTAATATTGGACTTATTTAGACTCAGTAGTAGGCCAGTGCGGTTGGCGCTGAGCACCGGCCATAATTGTTTGGCAGTTTTGCAGGTGATTTCGTCCTGCCACCTTTCGTTCGCTACTTTAGTGAGCCTCTCGGAGATAAGTAGCTTACAAGTTTGCAAGGGTATTCCTATTTCGTCATTTATATCCTCAAAAGGAAGTTTCGTGCCAAGTCGCGCCAGTTCGTCGGCCTTACAATTCCCCTCTATGCCGCAGTGTCCCGGAACCCATATTACCTTTGGGCGAAATGACTCAGCCATCTCGTTAAGAGATGCGCGGCATTTCATGGCTACCATGGAGGTTGTCGACTGCTTCGTGAGGGACTTTATTGCCGCCTGGCTGTCAGTGAAGATGTAGATATCAACTTGGGGTATCATATCACACTTTACCAGTTTCGTGGCCCTGTCGATTGCCATCAGTTCAGCCTGAAAAACGCTACAGTGGTCCGGGAGACGAAAGCTGAGGGAGATTCCCAGGTGATGGGAATATACACCTCCTCCAACCCTACCCTCGAGCTTTGAGCCATCTGTGTATACATGGATGGACTCTCCACTACATACAACGTCATGCTTCCACTCTTCCCTTGAGGGTAGGAGGGTCGCGAACGCTGTAGCGGGTGCAGGCTCCGGAAGTGCATAGTCCACCAATCCGGGTAACCCCGGAACCTCCGTTAATATTCTACCGTGACCATAACTGGTATTTGACCACTTATTTAGAATATTCATTCGAATTGCCGCGCCACTTGCGACTTGTTTGGCATGTAGGTCCACCGGAAGAAAATTCAGTAGGGCATACAGTGCCTTGGATGGTGTTGTTCTCATCGCACCAGTTATGAGTGTGGACGCAAGCCTTTGAACCTTGTCCATTTTTTTGAAGTTTACCCCTTTCCCAAGGGCGTTCCACCATACCACTATACCGTGATAGAGAATTGGCCTAACCACCGCCGTGCATAGCCAGTGTATTATTTTGGGTTCCATCCCCCATTTTTTCCCTATTGCTCTGCTACAGGAATATAGTGCCACTGTTGCTTTGCGCACTCTATCTGCAACGTT